AATTTCTCTTCCTCAGTTCTTTGGACCCCTTGTCCATGTGAGCTCCTCAACTGGTTTACCTTCAGGCAAGCGGGGGCGAATATCATCAAATCATGTTTTAACAACCTCTAAATAACCCCTGTTAAGCTGTTTCGGTTTTTGAGGGGGAGACAGTGTGAGGAAAACAGAGAGAGAGTAGGTCGGAAACTGGCCACAGCTGTGTGGAAGAGGAGAGTGACCAACGTGGGGCTCATTGATCAAACAGGGGATTAGTCTGGTTCCAAATCCTTGGCACCACACAAGCAAAGCTGTTTTATCTGGGTGGATATCCTTTCTGTGGTCCCAGGTAATCCAGTCAGTAGCCACAAATGTAATAGTTTTAGTCCGTTCGGTGGGAAGAGAAAGGGTAGATGTGGGGAAGAGCCTGGCATGCAGCCCTGCAATGGGAGCTCTCTGTTAGGTCCTGGGATGAATCTATAACACAGAGGAGGAAGAGGAGAAGAAAAAAAAAACACACACACTTAGACAGAACAAAGAAACACAAGTGTGCGAGGATTACACTCAGAGAAATTGCAGCGTTTCCATGTTTCAAAAACAAGGGGAGTCTTTTGATCTGTGGAGGCTTTGTATAGCCACGTCTCACCTCCTAGTTCCTGCTGCTACTAAAACAGACAGCTTATAAGAGTGGAAATAGTGCAGAAAATTGAAGTGTGTTTGGTATTTGTAGGTATATGTGGACATATCAGGAAAAGATTTATACAAAAAACCCTGGTGTGTTTCCATGCTGTGTATGTCTGCTTCACAAATTGACACTTTGGAATGTTACTGCTTTGATCTCAGACTGTTTTAGCCGCATCCCTGTTACCACCAGCTTGTCTGCCACCCCGTCATTTGCGCCTTCATACCAAGTCAGCCAGTCAACACTGGGGATTCTCTTCTATCCTGATAAAATGACTTTGGCTTTTCTAAATGGGGCCCCCTCTTTGGAGTCTGAGCTGTCTCTCCGTGACTCTGGTTCAGGGATTCTTATTCAGCTTGAGTTGCAGAGCCAGACACATTTCAGTGGTTCATTGTGCAACCTTGAGACTGCTATTGAATGTCCTGCTTTTCAGCATCCTGCTTAACCTGGAGCTCAATAAAAAATGTGCACAAGGTCTACAGCAGTTAAAGCAGTCGCATTCCCTGCCCTGCCATGACCGTAGATGCAGCAAAAGCATGTAAATGTTTATCAGAATTTATTTCACTTTTATCACGTTTTCCAGTAGTTTTACTGCTTTCGGATTTTATAGTGAAGAAATCTGAAGTGCCCTGCACACTGGGGGGGCCAATTAGAAATCTCATAATCCTGTTCAAATAAGAAATACAGCCATGACATTTCCAGCAGGCTTGGCAGGTGGCAGCCAGGTGTGTGGATTTGATTGTGGAGGGTGCTGCCTGGGACTCTGGGAGCTGCAGCACAGAGAGTCTCAGAGCTCCAATATGCTAGTAAGAGAGCCAAATAATTTTATTAACCATTTTCTGTGGGTAGAGTGATGTGCACCTGTATTCACAGACCATATTGTGTGTTATTTTGAGATTAGAGCAAACTGAAGAGCAGGTGACTCTCAGGCATTATAATTTGGGTCTACTTTGGCATCAACATTGGGAATGCAGTGGAGTTACATATTTGGTCGACTGCCGTATCAGTTGATACACTGTAAAAATCTTCATCATATCAAGTCAGCTTTACCAGTTTGTCATCAAAACTAACTGTTTTTCAGTTTTCTAGAGTAAAATGTCCTTTGCAGAACAAACTCTTTCCATACATTAAATGGGTATGTTTGTGTTATATTTGTCTGTTTCTGGCGGATCCAAGATTCGGACTGTTTTCACTATTTTCTTATGAACTAATGTATACATGATTGAATGTAAATATCACTAGTATGTTTATAGGAAACAAAACATGTTTTTTAAAGTACAAATGACTTGATGAGACAGATGTTCCTATTTGTCTCACAGCCTCATGTTGATGAAACACTTGCAGACTCACTACATCATTTCTATTTAGGTGTTTTCACCCGAACTATTCCTGTGCCTGCTCTAAATAGGGTCAAAATCTTAGATTTTAATATGCTGATCTCTTCTTCAGGTTCTGTCAAGACACCTTTCTTTGTACAGATTTACTCTTTTGTTCCATGATGCCTAAAAAAGTAAACTGCCAGGCATTTTCATCTGTATCATCTACTGTACAACAACAAATCAAAATTTTGGAGCAAGAATAGCCTCTTCCTGAACAAGACAAGTAACTGGTTTGGATATTATAGCTCACTCTCTGTTTCAGACACAATCCACCAGAGATTTGTTAGCGAGAAAAGACGGGTTGTATGCAAATGTTGTCATTTAAACCTGCATGCATGTGTGCGTGACTAAAAGTGTCCTCTGTTCTTTTTTTGTCCTCTGTCTCTTCAAATGAACAGTGCAGCAGGAGTGGCTTGCTCAAGGATTTCCTGCCTTTCCTGTCTTTGTTGGCAACTAAGTCGCCTGCATTCTAATCTGTTGGCTGCATTAAATTGCAGTTTACTCAGCCTTCAGTTAGTAAAAGAAGCCAAGGACAATTGCCTTAGCAAAATAATTTAGTGCAAACACAGCCCACCGTTTCCCCCCTCCTTCTCATTTAGTGAACAAATCAATCATGCCAGCAGAGAAATTTCTCTAAAGAGCACCCTCTAAAAACAGAAAACTCCACACAACAAAATACATCAAGACCCATTTATTGTGACATTGACAATGGAAAAAGCTAAGAGGACAAGTATAATTGAATTAGAAGCACTTGGATGGAACTCCTCCACCTTAAACCTGTATAACAATGTCATAGGGATGACAACATGAGCAGTCATGGCAGCATCCGTTAGCCTATAACTTCTTTTACATATATATCTATATCTATAGATAGATATAATAGATAGTTAGATCTTAAATGACTGTGTTTGCCATTTATTTATGATTTTAAGCTTGTCTGTATGATAACATTATACAGGAGTGAAGGAAGAGGAGAGATATTGTCAAGCACAGAGGTGGAAGAGATGGTTTCTCGGTGAAGCTGAACTGTATGTGGCATGGTCGCTGGAAGTTCATTTTGATCAACTGCAGCATGCGGTCTCTGGATTTGACAAATTAGTTGATGCTGCATTTGTGGCAGGTCACTTTTGCTCTGAAACTGTCTCACAGATGGGCTGCATCCTGTCACAGTGTATTATTTTGCTTGAAAAAGTGCCCTCCACTCCTCTTAATAAGGGACATGTGGCTCTCTGAACAGCAAGCAAATTATGCCAGAGTAGTTGGAGGGTGTGAAAGATGCTGGTGTAAAAGAACTGAGACACTCGGGTTCAGTGCTTAGCACTCACTAATCTGACCGGTTACATATTCTGTTGTGGAACTATTGTGTCCATATGTGGTTAGAACAGCTACTGTAAATGAACAAGTGATTATGTTGCAAAGTGTAATTACTAAGAAGGCCATTCAAATTCACTGAATGTCTGCTAGGGGTGGTATTAAGTATGTAAGACATTCCTGCACTGATAATGATACACTAGCAGTGAAATTATCAAATGAACATCATTCTTTTCACTATCATCAAAAGCGGAGAAGTAGAATGAGTAAAGAAAACTACTTGCTTCTTTATTGCCTATCTCATTGTGCCTTTTTTGTTTAAGGTGTATAATTGTTTGAAGGGAGCAGATATGAATCTATTTAGCCAGTGGAGCGGGTAATGCAGTTTTATGGTGGGCGAGTGTTTTGGAAGGTGCTCCCCAGCCTCGCTCTCAATGTGACTTCCACAAACAAAAGGGTCTGCCTTGTCTGCTGCTACAGAACAGGCAATGAAGGGCTCCCTCTCTGAAAGACATAAAGGAAAAAAGAAGAAACATGGGTGTCAGGCACTGGCTTTGCTGGGCTCTTTACTTTTCATGCCAATTTTTATGAAAGATGGTGATGAAATCTGTGTGTGGCTGAAAGTGTGTGTCTGCCTCATTACAGTTCACTGACACTTTTCAGAGCAAAACAGCAACCTGCAGGTGAATTAAAATCACTGAAAATTAAATAAAACAAAAGCAAAACCCGGTGTTGTAAGCTTGCTGGTCTGTGACAAAGCAAACACCAATGAGGCAGTTTGGCCTGAGAAGCAGGCGAATGAGGAATGTTGATAAAAAAAAAAGAGGGAAAAAGAGAGCAGAGTGCATGAGAAACAGGCCTTTCATGTAGCCTGTGGGCTATGTAGTGTGCTGATAGCTGCTTCAACAAGACCCTCAGAGGGGGATCAGGATATCAAGTGGCTTCTGATACAAAGCCGCGCAACACAAAGAGAAGAGGCCTGGCCGGGGGTCTTGCACTCACATGTGAGAATAAATGCACAGACGTAGCAAACACATCAAACGTGTGCATGCATACACAACTAGGTGCACACGCAACGGGAGGAGTAAGTAGCATGTCGCAGATTAGTGCCTAATGGGATTGGCAGAACGGTGCAAGGAACTCAATCAAGCCCACACAGTGGCCGAGAGCAAAAACAGGACATGGAACAAAGGAGGCAATGAAAGGAAGAGGGGCTGATCCTGCCATTACACAATGATGACAGTGAACAGGGTTCTGCTATGGGGTGTACCTGGCTCTCTTTGCAGGTTTCTACACTACACCATGAATGTGCTTTTACAGTTTATGTTTACCCATCTATACGCTATATATTATATGTGCCACCGTTTACATGAAAAATGCTGCACCTTACCTTTTATTTATGCCTGCATTGCCTGTGCTGGGTGATAAATATTTACAGTAGGTGGCAGTGCGTTCAGTATTTCTGGCACGCTTGACTAGTCATGCACAGCATGTAAACACACACTTGATCCTTTTGAACTGAGTATTTGGGTTAATGAGAAGTCAGTGAACACGAGTCACTCCCACTCCTACTGAACAACACCAGAGTGTTTACAGGGATGTGAGAGAGACTGGAAAACAAAAACAATGAACAGCTTGAGACTAACCTTTACAGAAGCAAGAATGCAGCTCGATTTCTGTTGATGCATCCTCTGCATTTTGCTTCCGGAAGCTAAAAAGGGGAGTATGGCTGGGTGTTCTGCAAAGAGAGGGTCAAGAAAAAAGGACACGTGTGTGTTGGGCAGAAAAACAGCTTTAGGTCTGACCTTTGGAACCTCTTTTCTTAAAATTTTAATTAATTTAGACCAAAACTATTTTACTCATAATTATCATTTAATGCTTTTTCTCTATTTGTGTGCAAACATTTACAATTTTGACTTATATTTCTTAAGAGAATATTTTGTCCCAAGTTATATAAAGACAGTCATCATTTCAAGTTTACTTATTTTACATTATGCAAAGTATTGAATTGAGAATTAGAAATGCATTCTTTAGAGTGAACCAAGTACTGCACCTTACCTTGATGGACTGGCAAGACCCCATTTGATCAACTTCTTTGTGAAAAGTTTAGGCCTGTGGTGGCTGTGGGGGCCCAGGGAAAACGTTATGTCTATCTGCTGGCATATAAATCTGCAGAACATCCTTCGTCGGCCACTGGTGGTTTAACCTTGTCTCTGTTCCTTGTTTCCCTACCATCACAGTAGTCTGCTTCTATGCAAAGCCACTGTCACCAAGCACTAAGAGGAGTTTCTTTTGGGGGTCCAGTTATGGAGTGTGGATGTGTGCATGGTGCTGGAGGAGGGTTAGGGTTGCACAGATGAGGTAATCAACCTGTCACAGAGTTCTGGACTGCTGGCCTCGAGGATATTACTCCCTTAATTTTTGCATGCCGCACTGACAGTCGGTTTACAGAGCCCAAAGGCAGTGGAGGAGCAGAGTGGCTGTTAACTTGATCTCTGAGAGGAGTGTGGCCTGAGGCAGCGCCTACCTGTTTGTTTACACCTGCTTTAAATTTGTTCTTTACTACTATGGGCCCTCAGATAGGTTGCTTACAATGAACAGAATTCATCTGGTTATATAAAGCACACAGAAGCGCTGCACTTTAAGAGTATTCTTTGTACAATATGATTTGTGTGCATTCCTTTTATCCACCAGTTTAACACTATGCGCGTTTGATTGTTCAGTGGCAGATTAATTAAAAATGAAGCAGGCAGTTGGCAGAGAAGCTTTGTTAAAACATTTAATCAAAGTATTCATATACAGCCTCTTGTTGTTTCTAGCGATCCCTAATTTCAAGTCACAAAAGAACTGTTGAATAGTAAAGTGAAATCTGGCTGTCGTGGTACTGCAGGCATAAACTGTGTGACAAATGGTATGAGTGTGTGGTTGTGCAAGTGTGTTTTTGGCATGGTTAAAATGTCTACATACAGAACAGGAATACAATATAGGTGTATGTTATATATACAGTATGTGTGCATCCGTACATTGTGAGTGCAGATCTGTGTACATATACAAGAAACATCCATTTGTGCAAAGGTGTGCGTGAGTGTATGTGACATCTCACCCTTGTGGTCTTGATTTTGTTCCCAGAAGAACACATCCATCCAGAGTTGTCAGGCAGAGTCTTACACTCTTCTCCCTCCAGACATGGCTCCATCTCACACCACCACTTCCCAATTACAATGGACGCTGGGGAAGGCGAGCACACATATGTAACACAGCAGGTCAGTTTATCACCAAACATTCACATTTGTATGCACAAATTCTGAAATATACTGACAAAAGAATGCTATGCAAAGTAGCCATTTCAGTAGATAAAATGAAAACAAGCTAAGATGAGGGGTATCATTAATAATGAACCTTAAATAAGGATCAAAATTAAGATAATGTTAATAACAATTAAAAGCATATGGGAAGTAACCAGAGTTTACAATGTAAGTAGAATCATCACAAAAGTTTGAACACATTCAGAAACCTCCCACACAAACATATTTTATGTACATATTCTACACAGGCACACATGTATATATTCACATAAGCACCCACACACTATATTATGAGCAACTCCAGAGGAAATCTAGTCGTGTCTCTAAATGAAAGCTTTTCCTCCACTTGGGCCTCAGAGCAGTTGTATCCTTGCTGCATGGGTACTTCTGCTATTGACTTAATGTCTTATACCAACAGAAATTAATCATTATTTTGTTTTGCTATAGCTACATTGCATGTACAGTAGGGGAGCAATCTCATTTTTAATCAAAACTAATTGCCTCTCATTAACATCTACTGAGTTCTTCCTCCAGCTATCTGACAAAAACAAATATGTTCTCATCTTCTCATCAAGATATCACTCTCCCTCCCCTCCTCTGTTTGTGTGTCTGTGTGTTCATGTGTACGTCCTTAAATACAATGCTTTAGTTGTTAGATGATAGTAGTGAAAAAAATGAAATTTACCTACAGTGTATGCTCTTCTATTTATTATTATTATTATTATTATTAATAACCTGTTTTTGTTAACTACAGTCTTGCAGTGAGAACTTCTCTTTGATTCAACTCATACCATACAAATGTAAACCATTCTTTAAAGTCAACTTCTCATTCATTTATTAACCATGATGTTTGAAAAACATTTTGTTTTTCACAATTCCCCACATTCCCCATTTTATGACAGCAAATGTGAAAAGTTCAAACCAATTTCTTTGACGAAAACTCATCTTTTCCCCCCAACATGCGTATATTTTATTATGCCGACATAAAGGAGATGTGACAATTAAATGATGGGGTGCGTGCAGTGAATTGAATTAGTATCCATTTATTTTGCCAAAGTGGTTTTTTTTAACCTTTTTAAAAAATTTTAAATTTCCCCTCTAGCCTGTGTTGCCAAGGTTACAGGCCAACCTCCGATCAGTTGTAAGTATGAGCAACAAGCCGTTTCCAGCTGATGGAAGAAGACAGTTAAGATGCAGTCCTGCACAGTGTACACACACAGAGTCAATACAGTATATATATATACCAGATAAAAGACTGGACTCAGAGTTACACCCCACTTCCCAACTTCCTTCTTCACTTGTCCCTCCATGAGCCCCGATGATACTGACTGCTGGAGCTCGAACCTCTTCTGACCAGCTGTGAGCCTGCCCTTTGGCTTCCTCCATGGTTGTTTACATTATTCATTAATTGCCACATGTGGTTCCATTACCCGCTGCTGTTGTCTTGCTTTTTCACCCTCTGTCTGCATCCATGGGCTAAAAATGTATTTCACATCACTAATCATGTTTGCATTGAGCTTTTAGGTGCAGCACCATAATTGTGCACGCTGTCCTCGTTAAGTGGCGCGATGCTAGGAGATATGTCTTTAATCAGTTCCATCAAGTGATGATAATGTGCTGTAGCGTCAGCACTGTTTAGTCCCATCCTCTTGCGGAAATGAGAAGTTATTTTTCATTATACCACCGACCGAGTAGGAATTATATTCAACAGTGTGAATTCAGAATCTACTTGAAATTGAAAATGGTAAAAGTATTACCTGCAAAACAAAAATCACTCCTTACAAAAGGAACCAGAATGAAAGCAAGAGAAAAGGCAGCAAAACCGAGGCAGGAGATTAAAGCGCTGTCTCACACAAGCTGCTAAAAATTGAGAGCCGCTTTGCATGAAGGTTGAACGGTATTTACTTCACAGAAGTGAATTCACCTCACCCTCTGTGCTCTGAAATGTGTGCACATGAAGCAATGTATTTTTCACAGTGTTTTACTGTCTGTGAAATGTATGCACGCCAATAGCTTAAGAGGGCAGCATGTTTGTTCAGTAGCTAGTGTTAACACTTTGTTGTTGAATTAATCAGAAAAAAAAAATCATCATTTAAACCAGCTAAGTAAGCTTTATTTTTTACTTGTTCTGGGGGGCTGCAGCTGATGCTAGCTGACAGTGGGTGGGAGGTGGGAGTCCCCTGGGCAGGACACAATTCAGAGTCACCAGTCAACTGTCTTTGGACTGTGGGAAAAAACCCACGCAAGCATAGGAAGAACATACAAACTCCACACAGCGACCCGGGTTGGCCACAAGATTCACAGAGCGTTCCTTCTGTGAGGTAACAGTGTTAAATGGCTGTTGTTGTAATCACATCCATGATTATACATCACTAGGTGCATGCTGCAACTACTAGTAAACCAGAAGATGCATATCAGTGACACAGTATGTGGGATAATTATTTCACCTCTAGCAACCAAAGTAATGATGACCTAAGCAATAATCACCTTTAATGACATTGTATAAACAGCCACCAAGCCCACAGAGGGATGAAGTCAAGGAGACAACTTTTTGTTTCCTGTTTCAAACCAGTCAGTTTGTTATTGTATTTTACAGTTTTTTAACTCAAACCATGATTTTTCCATAAACCTAGCCCTATTGTTTTTGTGGCTAAACCTGGTTCTCTTTGTGTTTATTATTGAATTTCTATTGTAATGTGCAGAGACTGTTATTGGAAGGCTGTTGTCAGATTGCTCTGCTGAACGAGGAAAGGCTATGTCTCAGGAGGTAGAGCGGGTTGTTTCCGGAAGATTAGTCAACATGTCGAGGTGTCCTTGAGCAAGACACTGAACCCCCAGTTGCTCCTGGTGATGTCACCGGTGTGTGAGTGCTTGGGAGTGTGAATGGCTGAATAATGTGAAAGCGCTTTGAGCGTGCTGTAAAAGCATAGAAAGGCGCTATACAAGTATAAGACCATTTATCATTAGTATTGAAGTCCAACTTTCACAAGTGTGAAAACCTGAAACATCTAGTGCACATACACTGAGAATGGTTTCGTCAGTGAAGCAGAGAGGCCTTGCATCTAGCAGTTGCAGTTTTTCTCCAATTGTTGATACATGTTTTCTGAAACTATTCACCATTCACATACATTCTCAAAATGATACTCATAGCTGTTCAACCACTAACATCTGGGTCAAAATCAAACTTTGCTCTCAGACAACACACACCAAGCTGTCAAAAACACACATTATAGTACATACACACTGAGAACCACTGTACCAGAGTCAAATTCCTTGTATGTTTAACACACCTGGACAATAAAGCTGATTCTGATACGTGCTACCAAAAGATGTTTTTTCCCTGGAATTGGGAGCAGGGTTGCAGTTCTGTGTTCAAATCATGATTAAAAATCTTACTGGTTATTCCATAGCACAGACCAGATGATATGTATAATCTACCGTCTTTTAAAAATGCAGTTTTGAACAACCCTAATTAATATCTTGACAGCTTCCCGTCTTGTACTAAAAGGAGAGTAAAAGTTTAATGACCAGTGACTGTGAAATACATCTTATAAATATTCATGTTCACATTTGATCTTTGCCTTAAAAATCTATTTCAGTGAGTCTATGAGGACCGCAGCTGGCTCATCTCAGAAAACTTAACAACACATTATTAATGACCTGTCTGGTCTGAATGCCACGAGGATAAAATTCAGACATAATGTAGCCATATGTGAACACACACGCTCCTCATGTTTGTGGCAGTACCCGGGCCAGGACATCTGCCTCTGACCTTGACCACTGGAGAGGAGCCATCTCTGGGCCGGGATCCATGCATCACTCTCTGGTGACCACTGACCTCCAACAGTCATTTTACTTTAACTACTCCCTGTGCAATCGTCAGCATAGAGGATATAACCTTTGTTCCAGCTCCAGCAAACTTTACTCCTCCTGTGCGGGGGGTGAAGGGGGGGGGGGGGGGGGCTTAGAGTAGACCATTTCTGGGTGGACTGGTAATTTTCAGATCTATCTGTTTACAAACTGAATGCCTTCAATGTGATTTAAAGCACCAACACCAATTAACACGAGTCTCACATGTTATCGTAAAGTAGCTGCAGTATGTGGTCAGAGGTGACAGATGGGCTCGGAGTAATAGCAAACATGGGCTGAAAGAATTTTTGATTCAAAATGCTAGTTGTGTAGCAAGCTGGAGTCTTTGATGGACAAACAACTGAGAGTGGGACTTGATCTGACTGACAAACATGAAGCGACGGACCTTTTACAAGTGCATCTGTCAGATCACTGGTGTGCAGGCTCCATGATGGATTGAACTTGCTGACATGTCCCTGCCAGGTAGCGGAATGTTTGAACACCTTGAGAGATGAGGAAGAGAACTGATTTTTGTCTATGCCAAAATGTGAATACATGTTGGTAGGTTCAATGAATAGTTGTTTTTTTTTTTTGCTTTGTTGGACTTAAAATTTCATCCATTATCTACACCGCTTATCTTGGAGAGGGTTGCGGGAAGCTGGAGCCTATCCCAGATGACATTGGGTGAGAGGCGGGGTCCACCCTGGGCAGGTCACCAGTGTATCACAGTGCTGACACACAGTGGCACACAACAACACATACTCACACTCACTCCTGCAGGCAATTTAGAATCACCAGTCAATCTAAGCTGCATGTCTTTGAACTGTGGGAGGAAGCCAGAGCACCCAGAGAGAACCCACGCAGGCACAAGGAGAACATGCAAACTCTGCACAGAAAGGCCCCGTCCAGCTCAGGCTTAGACCCGGAACCTTCCTGCTGTGAGGTGCAAGGATAAGGATAAGGATAATCACCTTTATTTGGCCAAGTGTGTTACACACAAGGAATTTGTTTCCGGTACAGAACTGTGGCAGCCATCTGCAGCGCCAACTCAACCGATGGCTCTAACCATCGGGGGCAACTTGGGGGTTAAGTGTCTTGCCCAAGGACAC